AACAAGTCTAGGCTACTAGTAAGTCTCCGTAATGAATCTGCCTAAAAATGTGTTTCGAGATCGCCCAAAATGTCCGGGATTCGGCTTTTGCGTTCTACAGTCGCCATTCGTCATGTTTACTGTGGCGAGCGGGACGGGTAAGGGCCGCGGGAGAACGGCGCGACGCTGGTGGAGTGATTACCGATGAGCGACACCTGTGAGACCCACCCGTCTCGTATCTCTCGCGGAGGAGCGGGAATTTTCTTAGCAATGTTAAAACGCACATCAACCGATCACTTGTTTAGCGTTCATGTAAACACGACATTCAGATTCACCAATCAGAATGAATTCAGTTAGATTGAAACAAGAGCTGTGCATGTAAACAATGAACGTCGACTGCAGAAAGCAAAAGCTGAATCCCGGAGATCGACGGCCGGACATATCCGGGAAAAAGAGGATGGTAACCCCTAATACTCCGCTTTCTCCACAGAACAAGAGCCTGCTAGCTTAGCTTCCAAAAAAAGATGGCCGACACTATGTGTAATCCCAATCCTCCATAATGCATCTGTCTGCGTATTCAGTATCTTCGTCCTTATTTTCAAAAAGTTTCTGCCAGTGAAATAAAACGCACCGGCACTGATCTGTGATAGGTCGCATTAGGTCCAACCCCCTAAGGGCGGGTTTGAAAGGGTGGGGACCAGTGCTTGTAGCATAGCTTTAAACCCTCCCGCTTTTTTCCAGGTTACTCGCGTATTTTTCATGTAGTCTTCCCGTTTTCGTATTTTCCCCTAAAATATCCCATATTTTTCCGCTCTGACTGTGTGAGACGTACAAGCTCGGACAGATTCGGCTTGGAGTCGTTCATCCTCGGACGCGGCGCATGCTGTCACAAAAAAAATGTAACACAGCCATGCGAAATAAGGTCTTGCAGGTCTTGCGCACCCAACACGTCATTTTTGGCGCGCTCGTGCGGACCGGTCGAGTATAAAAGGTTTATCCGTGTCAGCGCATGCTCTGATCGGTAAAGGTGCACAGACCTCAAACAAATGGAAGAAAAAGGTCAAACTAATGAGTTTTGGAAAAACAGCGTCTCTTCAACATAGCGACAACACGTTCTCGCTAGCGCAGCTCAACCAGGCCGTGTCCCTTTCTTTGCGTATTCCGTGGGCACATAGACGTTGGAACAGGGGGGGCGGGAGGGGCGGCCGCCCCCCCTCCTACGGCCGCCCCCTAAATTCACCTAAGCACGGGCGTCAGTTTGAAATTTGCTGGGCACAGAGACACGTTCGGAAGTGCTGGGTACAAATTTGTCAAACTGTGCAGCCTTCCTATTCAGCCCATAAATAAATACATCAATCCGCTAGACTTCATTTGACCGTTTTAATGGTCTAGTCTCTAGTGGTAGCTCTTTTGCCCAGAGTGCCAGAGGTTACGGGTTCTAATCCGCCCTAGGTACAGTTTTTTTTCTCTCTCGTCAAAACAGAATATGTCCATCTGTGGTTACAGCCAATATCAAGCATAGGACACATTTATTTTGTGATTTTACCGGAATGAATAGAGTCTCTGACGGCGATTAAAGTGCGCGTCCGAGTGAAGACTGCGCGCCACAGAGAACATAGCCTACAACTGACAGCAGCGGCAAGCGTTCCTCTTGATTTCAAAAACAAAACATTTTAGTGCTAGATCTCTTATTTAAACGAACTAAATTAATGCTCTGCTTAACAGGATATGTTTTATTCATGTTTAAAACGTTTTATTTTCCGATATATGGTGACTCAAGCACTGATGGATCAAGGAGCGGTCCATCAGTAGAGTCACCATATCGGAAAACATTTGGAATGGGTCAGACATAGCCCACAGTAATTCTGACTTATTATGTTTTTTTTAAAGAATTTCGTTTTTATAAATTGTATTTCATTTTAATCAATAAGTTGACTGATAAATTCTCAGAAAATGGATTTAATACCAATATTTTGAAACGGTGCGTAATTCCGACAGCCCCCCCCCCCCCCCCCCCCTACCGGGAATCCCGCCCCCCCTCTCACAAAATAGTTCCAACGTCCCTGCGTGGGCAGAGATTATTTAATTGAGTCGCACTCCGGGAAAATCACGTTGTAGTCCAAATGAGCCGTTCGTTATAGTTCTTAAAGGAGCTAAACGCAAGTCTCTGAGTTTTTGCAGAACTACGCCCCCTCTGGCGACAAGCGAAACTGCAACCAGAGCTGTGGGCGTTCATGGAGGAACACACACACACATACGCACGAGCTGTTCATAACCTAAGGAGCATCAGTCGCACACTGTGTGGCACACATCTTTTGTTACAGTCATAATGAGGTAATACAGTAATAAATCTGCAAGTCATTTAAAATATATGAAAGGAAAGGCATTCGAGTAAATTACACACTTGTGTGAGAGGGGGAAACGGGGGTAGTAGAAAACTTCGGTTTTTGTTTCTCCCTGTGCTTACTGTATCCACTTATGATTGAATTATTATGGAAACACGTTCAGTTATCACTTTGTATAGGACCCGTTTGAGCCCTAGAGTCGACCGCGGATCTCTCCGTTTGTTGAAAGCCTTCCCGATGTCGACTCTCGTCTTATTCCGACACCTGGCACTGGACAGACTGAAGTTTTATTTTTTTTGTCTCACGTGGAGTTTGCGTTGGGGTTTGTAATGAACTCCAAGCCGGTCTCTTTCCGCGCCATATACAGATTAAATGAAGTGCACGTCACCGAAAGCAACAGATATGAGATGGATTTTATTAATCATCGGCTAATTTCAAAATCAGCAAAGACAGCAATAAGAGAGATTGGCAACAGGCCTGGTAAGATCATTTAGTTTCTTTACTTTTAATGAAGATGGTAGTGTTCAGCGTCTGCGACTCACTTTCACTTTGATTTGCAATAGATTGCGGCGCTTGATAAAGGGGCTCAGCTGCTCATCTGAGGTGACGTCATATATGACTAAAATAACATGACATATAGCTTGGTTTCAACAACCAGATGCATTTACACTTTTCCAGTATCGTCTGGAATGCGGCCCAGACCACGTCCTCAAGTGGTTTGAGCGATCGGATTCAAATCCGTCTCGAATGCGTTTCGGAGGGCATTTACACCCTTGTCTTTTCATGATCGAATAGCTATCCGATCACAGAAGACACATGAAGTGACCAGGTGTAAACAGCCCCTTTGAATCCATCGTCTACTTTTGTGGAAAGTTGACTAGAGTTGTGTCGCTCGAGTTGTCTTCTCTGATACGGAGAACGGCGGCGAATAGCTACACGAACCTGCCAGACATAGCCAGGCGAGCGTGAACGCGCTAGGGGTTGAACGACTTCAGATTTTTTGAAGTCGACTGTTATGACATCAAAGTCGAGTCGACGTCGACTAGTCGCTGACGTCATTCATAAAAACACAAGAGATGTGACAGATTTGCAACATGCCACAATTTGCAATTAATTAACAGAACATCTGACAGCTCATAATGGGGCCGTTTACACCTGGACACTTCATGCGTTTTTACTGATCTGATTTATCAAAACGATTCCATTTACACCTGGTCACATAAATATGTTTTCGCAAAAATGGATATAAATCCGATCTTCAAACAACGCGCTATATGCAGATTTAACGGATTTCACATCACCGAAAGCAACAGTAATGAGCTGCATTTTATTGATCGTCAGCTAATTTCACAATCAAAGACCGAAATAAGGTAAGATCATTTTGTTTCTTTACTTTTAACGAAGATGATTGTGTGTTAAGCGTCTGTGACTTACTTTTGATTTACGATAGTTTGCACGTTGGCTTTATGAATAGATGCTCAGCTGTGCGTGTTATAGCTTCGTCATATAATGAATAGCATAGGCTGCTCTCACATGATTTATTTCAGCATTTTTGGGAGAAGTCCAATTTACATATGCGGTTTCAACAACCAGATGCATTTACACGTGTCCAGTTTCGTCTGTAAAGCGGCCCAGACCTCCTCATGAAGTGGTTTGAGCGATCGGATTTAAATCCGTCTCGAATGCGTTTCGGAGGGCATTTAGCATCTGGTCTTTTCACGATCGGATAGCTATCAGATCACAGAAACACGTAAAGTGGCCAGCTAAACAGCCCGCTGTTAATCATTTAGGTTGAAAATAAAAAAAAAGCTATAAATTCACATCTGCACGTTAGTGATGGATCTAAGTAATACAAAATAATATTCCAATTGATTGCGGGTGAATTAGAGATGCATTGATATGTTTAAATAAATTCATGAAAAAAATAGGCTAATGTTTGAATGATTTAAAAAAAAGACTGCTCTTATTTCCCGGTAAAACAGTGAGCGTGCGTCATGCTTTTACTTTCGTTTTCAACAATATAGTGGTGCTACGTTAGTAAAGTATTTCCATACGCTTTATGTGCCAATGCTGCTTTCTTGCTGCAATGACCCTCTGGGCTCTTCGTCTGTTGTCGTCTGCAACGCGGCCATATAGTATCAAAATTAGTGCAATCATATAGTTTCACATGATCAACGCGACTAGTCGACGTCAAGCTTAAAGCGTCGCGGCATTGCATTAAGGTCGACTAGTCGACTAATCGACTAGTCGGTTCAACCCCTAGAAAGCGCATGACGTCACGCCCAGTCTCAGATTCGAGCCCGAATCCCTCTTATATATTTCACTGTACAGGATTATAGAGGCGATCTCAGTGATCAGAGAAGGGCTCATTCAGCCCATCAGGCAATCGTTTAAGCATGTATGGGTTAGAAAACGGCTATTTTTAACATGAAATGTTGCGCAATGCACCTTTAAAAAAGGGGATTCTGTTAAATACAAACGTAAACGTTAAGCTTTGTAACCTTGCAGATCTTGGATTCTTTCAAACACATTTTTCAGCAGTTCATTTACATCATCGTAAACTTTGAATTCTGGGTAATCCCTACTTGGGATTGAACCTGCAACCCTTGTGGTACCATCGCACACAATCTTAACTGTTGAGTTAAGTATAAAGTATGAAGAGTGTGAGAGCGTCACCTTCTGGCAGAAGTGTTGTGTGCTGATGGTGAACACATCCAGGCATCGCGAAGACTTCCTGAGCTCCTCCTGCAGGACGATCAGCTGCCGGGCCTGATCTTCACATCTCTCTTTCAGTCTCTGCATTATCAGCTTCTCCCGCTCGGCATCCACACCGTCTGAACGCCCGCCCAGACGCGCCACACACGACTTCTGGCGCACTGGCAGATATGAAAAAATATGCTTAAAAAAAACTGCTTAAATATATAACGTGTTAGTACGAGAATGAGATTTCCTTCTAATGGTGTTTTGGAGGCCTCCTACAAGGTTTACATGCATCTAACACCAAAAGAAAAAAAGTTTAAAAAGTTAAAACCTTTAAAGGGATAGTTCACCCTATGAAAATTCTTTATGAAAATGTACTTCCCCTGAGGTTGTTCCATCAAACCAAATATTATTCAGACACCAGATATAACGTTTGATATGTTTTTACTGGTTGGTTTAGGATTTTATAGTTCTTTTATGTAAGTAAGGAAAGCAAAATAAAGTAAACTGTGACGTACTATACTAAAAATTCTTCATACAGTGACTACCAGTAAAATTAACACAAATTTGGGACCAAATAAAGAGTTCAGATGCAAAAGCCTCTAAGTGCCCTTTGAAATTTTCTTCTAAAATGATCATTTTTATCAAGCTTGTATATTTAAGTTCAGTAATTTCACTTAAATGGCAATGAAGATTACCTATTAGTTGTCATTTAAGTGAAATTACTAAACTTAAATATACAAGCTTGATAAAAATGGTCATTTTAGAAGAAAATTTCAAATGGCATTTAGAGGCTTTTGCATCTGAACTCTTCAAATATTATTCAGACACTTTGACCTGACCATGTGTTTTTGTTTTTTGTTTTTAATTGCTAATATGACCTTTTTACACCACGGACTGACTTAAATTAACTATTGCTTGGTAATTGGTTAAGCTAAATTGGTATTATCTAATTGTGTAGTTAAATTTAACATTCTTGTCATTTTGTATTATCATTTTCAAAAAATAGCAAATAAACTATGTTAATGATAATGTGAGAAATGCTGAACATGTCTGAATACATTTTGGCTTGACTGTATATTTAAACAAAAATTAAAATGTTATTACATTCCACACTATTGCTATTTTCACTGTATCAATTGGTCAAATAAATGCAGTGAGCATAAAGGACCTTTTTCAAAAACAACAATCTTACCAAAAATGGATCATCCAATCAGATTTTAGAAGAAATTTTTTATAAATATGCTTATATATCATGTTTACAAACTGACATTATGTATTGGTATGTTCCATTTATTGTGTATTACAACTGAATTATTGAGAATTCAGAAATAAAAAACTGAGCAAAACGTGAAATAATCTTATTGTAAGACCCGTGGTGTCAATTTTTCCTCCATTAGTCTGGAAGCATTAGTGAGGGAATTACTCGCCGGTTTCATTATGGAAGTCTTTAGTCTTCACAGCGTTGCTATGACAACCACGAGTAGCTGGTTAATGAGGGATGTGAAATGACAGTGGGAGGGGTGAGCGGGAGAAAAAGTCACAGGACACTCACCGGGGGACTGAGGCTTGGGACAGACCACTGCAAACCTCTTCGGGGACGACACAATGGGACGGCTGATTTCTCCGTCCCTTTGAAACTCCTTTCTGGAGGCTGTAGAGAAACAAAGAGCTGATTTATTATATTATACAGTAGATTAATATAGGGATAAAGTAAGTGCTGAAAGTGTCCACTAGCTGGAGCCCTCGGCCCACTAATGTTTCTCTCGTACTGCGACTGCAGTGATCAGCTGTGATGCAATGCACACTTCAGCCACTAAAGGCCCTTCATGAACATTTGTGTGTGTGTATATATATATATATATATATATAATACTGGAGAACATGTTACATATTTGTAATATATTATTCAACAAAAACACTGCTGACAAAATTAGTCGGTGATCTACAGGTTGTATGCGTATATACACCAAATGATTTTGCTACTTGCTTTTATCTCATTTTTATTTTTTTTATTTCTTTTATTTGATTGAATTATTTTATTGTACTGGAAAGCACTTTGGAACAACTATGGTTGTGTTAAACTTGTGCTCTACTGCTGCATTGATCAGAAGTGACAGTAAAAATATTTATAATATTGCAAAATATTTCATTTAATGCTGTTAATTTGAACTTCATCAAAAAAAATCTGAAAGAAATTAAGAAATAAGCGTCACAACTGCTTTCAATATTGATCATAATAAATGTTTCTTGAAGATCAAATCATCATATTAGAAATATTTCATTCTGAAAATTCAGCTTTGATCACATGAATAGTAAATCGTAACCTCACATTATATACTGCTATTACTGTATTTCTAGTCAAATATATTATTTTTATATAATAATTTGCAATAAAAAAAAGATTTCGTAAGATTTGTAAGCCATGAATTGATTTTTGTCCATAATTACTAGGTTTGCTCAATTCTCTGTAAGAGTTCTCTTATTATTATTCTAATCATGTCTTCAGCAATTGACAAGCTTCTACTTCAGTGTCTCTTTAACACATTTAGACGAAAGAAATATGGGTTTATTTAGTGCAACCTTTATAATAATACTTGAATTTACAGTTCTATACATTTTGATATCTCACATGTCATTAAAGTGAGAAAACATACAGACAAAATGTACAGCTTTTCTGCAAAAATACTGTAGTTGATGTCCATTCTTTGCACACAGAGGTGTAAAAGTGTGTGTGAAGTATGAATCTTGTTGTCAGAATGAATGTCCGAATATCTCCACACAAAGTTGTGCATTCAACTTACGCGCAACGTTGTAAAATCTCATAAAACATTTGTGAATAAAGCAGGGTGACAATCCCATGTGTTCAAGAGCACAAAAACATCACTTCCTGGAAAAATGGCGTAAAATATCTGTAATAAAAATGGATGAAGCTGCAATTGGAGAAGCAATTCCTCCATCAAGAATGAGACGTGTTATCTTGAGTTCTGATGCTGGTGTTTGGGAATGCGAATAAACCAAATCATTTTAGTATAAGACTTTGGCTCAGGCATTTCAGAACGACCAAACCAACATTTGAGATGCCGCGATGCTACTGGTCCACTGGTTAGTTTGGTTATCCAATCACATCCTCTGTTTAGGCAAAGTCACATGAGTTTTTTTGTTGTTGAGGTTAGGGTTTGGCTAAATTGGCAAAAAAAAAAAAAATTAATTGAGCACATTTTTTTTTTATTTTTTAGAATTTTGGCTTTTCCATTCAGCTTTGTGTATGTGTGTGTGTGTGCGTGATTTCCCAAAATGCCCATAAAAATAGGCGGATGGAAACCGCTTGTGACACACCTCTTCACACAGGGTCATGTGACTACTGCGTGACACAACATTGGTCAGGTTACATTTGGTGGCAAAAGCATCAGACCAATGAATCTGTGATAACCATAACATGCATCATTACGCTCAGGAGCTGGCGCAACTTACCCACGGGTGATGCGCGAGGGGGCGTGTGCAGAGAGCGGCGGCTGGGGGGCGGGGGGTTATGAGTCCTGCTTTCATCACTGCCGCTGAGTGGACCTGTGGAGAAAGAAAGAAGAATTACTTACAATTTTTTTTCACAATTCACTTATTTATTGGCATTGATGGTTTCATGGAGAACATTTAAAGGGTAACTAAACCCCTGGTCAGAGCCTGACTCCACCCACTGGCAATATTTGAAAATGCTGAAAAAGTGGGCTGACCCCAGCGGAGATAGAGGGGACGAAATAGATGCTAAAACACTCTATCCTGATCGTTTTCAATACTCGCAATTCCAACTCCTGACTCGATAAAGTGGTTTTGACGAAACAAGCTGGTTTTTATACTGCCACTCGTACCAAGAGAGTGTGGTGAGCTGAAACCTGCGTACGTCACGAAGTGCGAAACATCCAATAGGAAAATTCAACTGCAGTAGCCACTGTTCAACCTGAAGAGGGCAGCACTAAGGTCGTTTTTACACCATATATTGTAGAAATAAAACACTTTATAGACAAATGTCAAAAAAGTTACTCGAATCAATGACTGGTATTAATAAAGATCCATTCTTACAGATCATTAACTAAAAAAAGTTGGTTTAGTGTTTAGTCACTCTTTAAAGGCATAATTTTCACCCAAAAATGACATTGCTGTCATTAATTACTCACCCACATGTTGTTCCAAACCCATAAGACGTTCGTTCATCTTTGGATATTTTTAATGAAATCCGAGAGGTTTCTGACCCTACATAGGCAGCAACGTCATTGCAACTTTAAAGGCCCAGAAAGGTGGTAAAGACATTAATAGTCAAATGCGACTCCAGTGGTTCAACTTTAATGTTAAGAAGTGACGAAAACCCCCAAAATAATGACTTCTTCTACGCCATTCTCCTATGCTGTTGATGTAGAGTAAACATCGCTGCGCTTCCTGGATATACGTCAGAATGCCGGTTCATTGTTGGCCGATGCTGGTCATGTGAGCAACACGACACATGCGTGATGCTGATGCAGGAGCAGCCAATGGTGAGCCGGCGTTCTGACGTATATCCAGGAAGCGCAGCAATGTTTACACTACGTCAACAGCGTAGGAGAATGATGCGGAAGAGGGGGTTTTCGTCGCTTCTTATCATTAAATTTGAACCACTGGAGTCACACGGATGGTTTTAATGATGTCTTTACCACCTTTCTGGGCCTTAAAGACTTGAAATTACACTCGGATTTCATCAAAAATGAATTTGTTATCTGAAGATGAACGGGTTTGGAACGACATGAGGGTAATTAATGACAGAAATTGCATTTTTGGGTGAACTAACCCTTTAACACCCATGGTACCTTTGCATCACATAAAGGTTTTTTTATAGTGGAAAAAGGTTCTTCGGGTTATTAAAATCCTCTTCACGTTAGGAAAAAAAAAATGGTTCTTTTGAGAAGATTCTTTGGGGAACCAAAAATGGCATCGATGTGAAGACTCCCTTTTGGAGCGAGGAGTGTAGCTCTACTTGTATTGTTTTCTCTCTTTGATTAATCGCTTATCCACAAGTTTCCTACGCCCCATGAGGCCTTGCGTCAAAAGTGGGCGCGACTTCCGGTTGGAAGTAAACAAAGCGCGACTTGACATGCTTGACTCTCGTTCATTCAACAGTTGACAGTCATTCAAGTTATAGCGATCCAAACTAGCTAACGATGTGGGAACACAACCTCAATGAAATTAAAAAGGGTGAAATAACAGTACCTTTACCCTCCGCAGTAGTTGATTGGGAGTATTATAATAACATTATTAATTATCAATACTCATCAAGGCATGGTGACAGACAGTTGTGCGAGCTGACAAACAATTCAAATAAAAAATACACACTTAGTCATTGTGCTTTGGAGTTTATTCAAAATTATAAATGAATGTGCTGCTTGAATACATTAACTGGCACATTTGGTATTCTGTCAACACAGGCTTTGATCCTGAGTTTAGGTGTAACATCAGTAGTGAACAGCCAATCACATGCTGATAGAGTTTATAAAATATAAAGAATTTAAAAAAATGTACACAGGAAGATTCGTCGTCTTTTGGGAGGTGATGGAAACTAACGTTACAGTCGTTGGCAGGATCAGAGACGGGCTCTGGCAGGATCACTCGTTTTCAGCTTATGTTCAAAACAATCACGTTTAAGCCACTGAACTAGTTTAGTGCGGTTATACATACAACCGCGAACAGCACATATTGTCCCTGAGCTCCGTAACGACATCTCTCATAAAGATTTGCGTCTTTAAATAGTAAAATAATTCTCCGAAAAACAGCTAGCCTCTTCGCTAACTAACACACAAAATACCATTGGAATGCTACTTCCGCCGCGTCACCGGAAGTTTCACCCACTTTATTTTTTACAGGAGCGCCCCTCGGAAACTTGTGGATACTCGTATTTTTCTTATTTGAAAGTGACTTTAGATAAAACTGTCTATTAAATGAATAAATGTAAGGTAGACTTTGAAAACCTAGACTAGCATTTTATACTACTGTTAAAAATTGATGTTGGAGCCATGGCCTAGTAGTTGTGTTGCGAGGTCTCATGTTTGAATCCAACCTGTGGTACTTTAATCATTTCCTGTCCTCTATTGTCTCTATCGATTATAAAGGCCCAAAATATTAAAGAAAAGGAAACATCAAAAGTGTGGGATTTGGAAAAATGTGTGTCTTATGCTCATCGAGGCTGCATTACTTGATCAAAAAAATACAGTAATAGTATGAAAATAACGCCACAAAACGTTTTCAGCCAGCGGTATCTAAACATCATCCATGATTCATCCAAGAATAAAGACTGCCATATTTCACTCACCCTCATATCTTTACTAACCAGAGAGTACACGCTTGTCTTTCCCACTCAATGAAGTCATTTGAGCTCAGGACAACATGAAGTTGAGTAAAAAATAACAGATTTTGAATTTCTTGGGTGAACTACAGTATGCCTTTAAACATTTCCCTAGATTTGCAAACTCATGCCGGTGTCCAGAGTTATGTGTCGTGTTCTGCTGACACCGCAGACGTGTTGTCTTCACCTTCCTCCTCTCAGATTTACAATGGATTTTTAGCCAGGTCTCAAAAACGCTGACACATCCTCCTTCATGCTCACACTCGCTACAACCTGAAAAAGCCACCGCAAAGAGGCTAAGAGGATTAATGATTAATGCGACACTGTTTGAGATCAATAAACTCAAGTGTTACGTTTTCAAGGGTTTAACTATTCATAATACAGTGCTGTTGTTGTATATGCAAGATCTAATCGTATTAATACTAGCAGCATTCATGGTGTATGCGATTCAACAGCCAAAGATGTCCTTTTGACGTCTGCAAAACCTTGAGATCCAGTATTACAATTAACACATGAGCAACCCAGCTAACAAACACATGTTCGAAGAATGTTTCGCTAATGCTAATTGCTAAACGCTATTTCTGAAGGTGCTCTGAATGTCAATGAATAAAAAAACACATGATGCTGATGTAAAATGCTAAAGATACGCTGTCACAAGAATGATTGTGTCCATATCAGCAGGAGATGGAAGACATCGGATGGCAAATGGCATGAGGTGTCGTCAGAGAACACACGACAGCAGGACGTGTGCATTATTTATGATGAAGCATTAAAGGTTTCACTGTCTGACGCCTAACATGTGCATGTACGGTATATTATTTGATTCACATTCATTTGTGTGACTTGAGATTGTCTTCTAGATAAACTTTTAGAATCATGGTGAATTCATTTAATAAGAGAAAAACAACAGGAAGCTTTGCATGAATAATAGCAATGGTGAAAATATATTATTTTGGGTTGGGGGCCTTCGAATATAGTTTTGGACAAAGGGAGGATTCAAGACAAAAGCCCTCCAAAAATATAGCAATTCATGGTTAAATGACTTACTGAATGATAATTCAAATAATAATTAAGGTGTTCGTCAGGAGTTGATTTGAAAAGCAAGGTTGCAATGTAGAGAAAACACTTTTTAAAAATGAAATGATTTCTGTAAATGCAGGGATCCAATGCTGTGGTCTGTGTGAGCGATTACACAAAACTAGAAGACTTTCTGAATGTATACGTGATGGTTTTTTTTGTTTTTTTCAAATGGAAATTTAAGAGAGTAAAAAGAAGTAGGTGGGAAATCAATTGATTTACTGCCATTGTGAAAATAACATGTAATCATTTTATCAATAAAAAGTAACTTAAGTCTGATTACGAGTATTTTAAAATGTAATATAATCTTAATACAAGTACATTTTTGGAATTGGATTACATATTCCAGATTACATGTAATCAGTTACTAACCACCGGATGATGCAAAATGTGTCTATTTTTTGGTAGTTTTCATTGTTCAATTACACTGTAACAATAAAAAGCCGGGTGAAAACATGTGAACGTACACTGTAAAAAATTATGGTGATTTTAACGGTAAAAAAACTGTTAATTGGTTAACAGATAGATTCCTTACTATATAGGTAAATAACTGATATAATGGAACATTTAATGTAATTTTACTGTAAAATACTGTTAAATTTACAGTTTTTGGAAGTGAAAAAGAACAAGTCATTGTATAATTTACAGTGAAAAAATGAAAATTGACATTCCCACTATACCCTGCGTGACAGTTCACATTTAATGATTTTTTTTAAATAACTGTACATTAGGGTTTTATGTTACATTTAATGTTGTTAAATTAATGCTTATTGATTTTTTAAAATATCATCATGTTACCATATAGGTGTTTACTGTTTGTGTGAATGACACTGTGCAGCTTCTATATTAGTGTTGATTATCTTGTGGAAGAGCTGATTATGATGAGCTTTGATTGGTCATGTGACTCTCATTACTGCTGTGATTGTTGGCTATCAGTGTATTACAATGGAACAAAACAGATATTAATACTTCAAAAGGTCAGTAAATTAGCATTACATCAGATAATAAAATGCGGTTTATTGCTGTAAAATTATATACAGTTAAAAGTCTACAAAACCTAAAATGTTGCTACCATATTTTTACCATATTTTCCTGGTAACCATTTTTTTCCCGTAAATTTAACGGA